AAAAATTTATTTATACTTGGAACATTAATTCTTTCCAACTGAATTGTTTGCATCAGATAAGTCAGGTTTTCTTATGTAAACAATAGACCAATCAGATGAGTATATTTTTCTTAAATGGTTTTGTGAAGGAGCGAAAAACAAACTTTACCTTCATACGGACATTATTTTTCTATTTCAAACCAATAAACGTGCTGTTTTTTTGTGATATTATAAAAAAAATTATGTCATATTTTATGATACTATTTTCATAATCATTAATCAGAGAATGATTTTTTTTTTGATTATTGAGGTTTGTCTTTTTTTGTCGAAAGGATGACACAAAATACATAAATATTAATTCAAATACAGGTTTTACATTGATATACATATATCTTATGATTCATGATAAGCTAAATTGGAAAAAAACAATAATGAAATTTGATGCTTTTACTGATAAAACTACAGCTCGGCTGTAGACGTTGTTGACGTGACTAATATCTTTGCACTATTAAACAAAAAAATATAAATCTGGCATTTTTTTCCAACAAACTTTCTTTTTTTCATGACTTATATTGAATGAAACTAGTATTTATCCTATAATTTAGTTTCCAACTGGTTTCTTCATGACGAAATATGAAATGAATTGAAATATCATGTAATTTGTCTTATTTAGCTGCGGGAATATTCCTTGTGTAAACAAGCATAGGTGAGAGAGAAAAGAGACTGACATATCTGACGATGACTTGTTTTTTCTTTTTTTTCGGTTATCGAGGATGGAGAACGAAAAATAAGTCCGCATAGTATATATAAAGGTGCGTTTACAGTCATATTAATAGACGAATTTTCCAATTTCATACTCCGATCGTAATAATGTCCAGCTCACAATATATTTCTCAGTCATCTTGGGATTTAGGTGTGTACCTACCCGGTCAATTAGCTTTTGAAAATACAGAATTTCAATCGCCTGAAGCTTTGATACAAGCATTTAATACTGATCTTGTACTATCAACGCATCGCGAAGAACTAGAATCATTTAATCCACTGTGTGATGATATGAATGCTGTCTCCATGCTAGTAGATGACGATATATTTTTATCACCTTATTCTGATTCTGATGATACAACTTATTTCTCAGAGCAATGCACAGTAGCATCTTATGTACCAAATCTATCGAATATATTATTACAAAATGTTAGTTCTCCATTATCCCCGTCATCCAAAGATTTGCGCAAAAAACAAAAAAAAAGTACATCTTCATCAAACTCACCAACACATTTCAATCATATGTATGGAAAGTGTTTTTCTATATTTGATAATGTAATGGGAAGAAAACGTCGACCATATTTATTTGAATTTTGTCGATTAGTACTAGACAATGAAGAATATTCACATTTAGCTCAATATATTGATCGAAAACAAGGTATTTTCAAAATAAATAATCCAACTGAAATTGCTGAATTATGGAAATGTGTGAAAGGACGTAATAGTGATACTCGTAAGTTAATTTTTATAATATATAATATAATAATAATAATAATATTGTTTTCTTTCTTTCTAGCAATGACTTATGACAAAGTAGCAAGAGCTCTTCGCTATTATTATAGTAGCGGTGTGATGCACCCAAGTTCCGGACGCTATACATTTCGTTTCGGACCAAAATCTGGTTTTGGTACTACATGGTCGCCAGTTTATTAATAAATAACAATTTCTTTTGTTAACTCTACTGATGGAATATTGTTACTTGAAAAAGTCAACCTAATCATATGTACATGATGTTGGATTGAAGGACATTTTTCAGTAAAATGTTTACGGAGATCCAAAAGATGTGTATATAATCATTTCTTAGCTGATCATATTTGTGAGGTGGCTAAGTTCTATTCCCTCTCGTTCTTTCTGTTTTTAATTATGAGATTGATGAAATTCAATTCATTCAGGGTTTTTCAGAATCTTTTCTTTTCATATTTATATGTCTCTATGCGAATTTCTGCATTTTCATTCCGGTTACTTTATTCCTTCTCGTATATTCTGTTAGGATCTTAGAATCCTAGTTCATTGCATAAAAGAAAAAATTTTTTTTTTAGTTTTACTCTTGATTTTTTATTTCTTTTTAAATTGTTATTTTTCGAAAGTTTTCAACCACATCCAAATATATTTTATCTTAAATGATTTTTATTTGAACCGGTTTTGTTTTATTATATATTGTATGTGCTTTAATATTGTATTTACCTATATTATGGTAAAATATTTTTTTTCTATTTATGAAAGTGATAAAAAACGTAACCAGTCTAGTTTATTGAATAAATCATTTTCTAACGAAAATTATATATATATCAATATTGTATTGTCTTGCAAAAAATACGAAAATATTGAAGTCAGTAAACTTAAATGTATAATAAGAACTTTAAAGTATAATGTCTACATTTGATCTTATCTTATTTTGATTCTATCATAGGTAGACATAATAAAAAAGAAATTGTATTCGACTGACATTTGTCTAGCGTACCTGGTTCTCTTCGTCTCTTACTTATCAAAAATGAGTCATATTTAGTATTTAATTATATTGGTTATGTCAAGGACAAATATTAGCACGCAGACGCGAAAACATTACCGTTTATTAATATGTGAATATAAAAAATTTTGATCTCGCGACATATACATAAATACAACCCGTGAATCAAATTCAATAAACTACACAAATAGAAATACTCGTTTTATAAGAAGACTATATAATTATCTCAATTTCATCGAAAATCTATTGATGAATAATTTTCCTTTTAAGAATAATAATCGAGAATTGACAAGTTTTAGATGTACATATACAAGAAAAAATATATTTACAATTGTATGCACTTGTTACTTTCGATAAAAATAAAATCGATAAATAAACAAATTCATTTAGTGTATGGTAATATATTAGAAGAGTTAAAATATTTTGCACAAGTCATATTTTTTTTATGTTTATCCAGGCTATAAATCATCCATAACGATGATTATTAATTTATATTTTTTTTGCGTATAGACGAACAAAAAAAACAAAGGTAATATTACGACTAAGATAAAAATATAATTTACCATGAAACTATACGTTTTTACGTCGTACAATCAATAAATAAATAGAAAAGGTATCGAATGATGTATTTTAATCATATTTGAAAAAGAAATAACAGTTTCGAGAAGATTATTTCGAATTCTATCAGCTTGTTTTAAACTGTGCAACTTATACTTCATTTAACGTAAAGAATAGATTATTGATGTTTGAAATAACAATGAATTGTAATCATTTTTCATAAGAAATAGTTGATTCTGAATTGATAATACTTGAATTTATATTCTTGTTTTGTTCGTTTATTTAATAAAAGTCTTCTAATGTATTGAGACCATATATATTAAAATCGAACAAAGCTTAAAAAAAATAATATCTATAGATAATCCAGCAATTTTACATTTATAAAATAACAAAAACTAACAGAAGAAATCATTAACTACAATCACGATGCTGTTAGATATTAGAATATATTGATGATTATATCTTATCAAAGAATATTGATATTATTAGATAATAATCCGTTGATTTCAGATTATGATTAGGATTATTTTCATTGATAATATAATCTAATTTTCTTCTATTCTGTTCAATTGAAATCAGCTTAGTAAAAATTCTACTTTATTCTTTCATAAACAATCAAGTCCTTGAAAGAAAAATAGAATCATATAAAAGCGTCATAATTTAGTTGACGATTTTTTCCAATACATTAAATCTGAATAACGACAAGTTTAATATTTTTTATGATCGAATAAAAAAATTAAGTGGCAATGTATGTTGTATGTATTCTAGTTACTTTTGTTGTTCTTCACAGTATTGCATAAGCTCAGTCATTTACAAAAAGAACACATTTACGTTTGTTAAATATAAGACAATCAATTTGTTTGTCTCTTTATACGATATTATTAATATTTAAGCTAATTAAAATACGAACATGAGTCTTACAACTACTCAAATTAGTCTTTGTTTTCAAGCCTATTGGTCTATGTGGTATGTGTACATGATGAAGAAAAAGTATATTAAATAGTTTCTATTATTTACTGTTAGGTTAGCAAATGCTTTAGGAGGATTACTTTTTATGGGTGTTAATATTGGTAAGGAGAATATTATTTATTTCAATAAATGAAAACGAATAATCGAAATTAAATAGGTATTGCTTCATTTTTTCTAAAGAAATTCATTAAGAAAAAAGCAATCAATTATCAACCTACATCTGGCAGTGCAAATCGACCGTTTAGTCCGTCAGAAATTCATACTATTGATGATACAAATCAAGATCAGATGCAGAGAAAACCAGGATCACGTGGGTCTTCATCAAGATCCGGTATGATTTTGTTGTGTATGAAATTAATTCTATACATTTTATATAGATAATTCTGGTTCACCAGAATATATGGATGATTTTGCTAATGCAACACTTGAACAAGTTAATAATGTTCGTGTAAAATATAATATTTCACCAGTAAACTTAAGTGATCAATTATCAACTATTGCTCAACGATGGGCTAATCATATGGCACAAACGGGTAAATTAGAACATAGTCCAGCTGAAATGCGTAGTTTTGGACGACAAATACTTGGCGAAAATTATGTTTCAACATTTCAAACTGAATTAACAGGTTATTTTACTTTTATTGAAAAGAAAATATTTAAATAATTCCTATTTAGCTAGTAAAATGGTTAAAAAATGGATGAAAGAAAGATTTTCTTATCAGTTCGGTTCAAATGGACGCCGAGAAACAGAAAATTTTACACAATTGGTTTGGCGAGCAACACAAGACATTGGTGTTGGTCGAGCTCGATCTGCTGATGGAAATTGGTGGTATGGTGTAGTTGTATTTGATCCACCTGGAAATATTGCAAATCAATATGCCAACAATGTACCTTTCATAACTTGATAGACAATATTTTCTTGTTAATACTGAATTATATATTCCTTTTTTTTAAATAGTTAATTAATAAGTTTGACTTTTTAAAATTTAAAAAAAAAATTATTTGTGATGAGTATCGATTTGATCCCGATCCATGATC